TTTTCTTAATTTTCTCAAATTAGTCAACTGGCTCTTATAATTAAGACTAGAGGTAGTAGTTACTCTGTGTGTATATATGCTGAGTTGAATATTAATAATACAAGAAAAATTTGGTTAAAAGTCATTGTTTAAAAATTTAATCAGCTAAAAAAAACCTAAATTTGAGTGAGCGCAACATATCATCAATAATGTATAACAATCATTAATACAAAAATCATTTACATACAGTAAAAGATATGTTACACTTATGGATCATACTTATACGAATTCAAATTTAAATCATTTTAGCCAGTTAAATTTTCAAACATGGATCTTTCACCAAATTTCCCATAATACAATTGCTATTCCCATCCATTGCATATATATTTTCGATAGGAGATCATGATTATGACATTCGTGTGGATCTTATTTTCAGAAATATTCATCGTAAGGAGTAACACAGCACGATGGTCTTAGTAAAGCCAACCAAGACCTGAAAACCAAGTCACAACCAAACAAACAGTAGGGCAATATAGTCAATGGCCGGTGATCCCCAAGAACAAAATTAATATGTATGAAATGAATCTCTTTAAACAATTAAAAAATGACAAATCAGACACTTATCAATCCCCTATTTTGGGCGTGATCAGAATTTATGACCCATAAGACAACTCTGATCTATTATAAATCTGACATCTCATGTATTATTCAAACAAATCTGGGACAAAGCGCAGTTTTAGCAGAAAACATTTAACAAAACCATAGTATAGAGTAAAACCAAATGTAGCCGCAAATCATCAGAACCTAAGCCCTGTTGGGTACGTAGTAAATTCTCGCAAATTGTAGGCATGAGGGATATATAGTTCAAAAATCAGCTTCAATAAGCTCAGTTCCAGGCATTGGGTGCACAGAGAATTTATGTGCCATCCTATAGTGGTTGGCTATATTAGTTGAGTTGACTCATAGTATCTGTTGCAGGTTACGCACTAGACTGAGAAAGAGAGAAAAAAGAGAGGGGTAATGATATATGCATATATACTCTCAATCTCAATGGAGACGAAAAGAATAAACAAAAGGGGAATAAACCAAGGGCTATAATTACCTGTAATTTTTTTGCAGCTAATTTTAATGAAAGGGTCCCACATGGATCCTGGGCGAAGAATTTGCAGAAAGCCGAGAAAGAAACAACAGAAAAGGATATCTATAATTGGCCAAAAACTTTCAGTTTTAGGTGGTATATTTGGTAAAGCAATGAGCCAGTTTTATCATAAAACTAGAAATACAGCTCTAATATTTATTGATGATGTTAAGAATCGCTTGCTCAAGATAATTGAGACCTGTGTTTAATTATATTTGTTTAATCAACGTTCACAACCTCTTTGGACTAGAAGTAAGCGATGGAATAATACATTTTTCATCAATAAAAGTTCTTGGCATTGGTTCATATGGCTGGAATGAACCAACATTAGATTTTGAAATATCAGTTAATAAATTGAATTTGTTTGCTACTTTTGCATCCCTGATTAGTATTGTTAATCTCATATATGATAATAATTGCAGTTAATGCCTGGATACAGGGCAAACTGTGAAGTAGCTTGAAGGAACCACTTGAACTACGTATGTTTGGCAAGACAGTATTTTGATCACAAACCTTATATGATATACATATAACAGTAAACATAGCAAGAGGTTCTTGTGGGTGGTAGTGATTCATGCTTCATAAATATTGATGAAGTTAAGCTCATTATCTTCTAAACGATTGGAACAGAGAGACAGAGATGAAATAGATGAATGTGAATAGCCTTTATAAGGCTGCTTCATGCTTTGCTCTATTCCCTGTGTTTAAAAAAAAAAAAAAAGATTGAAGATCGAAGACAACAAAGTTCATCTCATTAGGTGACCTTAGCTACGTAGACGCTTTATACATAGAGATTAGGGAAGCTAGATAATTAACTTGGAGAGATTAAAAAAAATTAGTTAACTTAATCATTTGTAACAAATATATATCGACTCCTTTAAATTATCCATATTCAATAATATACATTGGAATTACCCATGAGTGGAAATACCTTATAATCAATAGGGATATTTTGATAACACATTATAAATTTGGAGCATAAAGTAAATTGAAATACGAGCATTATATTTAGGACCCTAAATTACATTTACTTTTTTGGTAAAAGAATGTTAAATTTACTTTTGCCAGTGGTGCTAGTTTGCTGCATATATCGCTGCTACCTTAACGTACATTTCGGACTATAAATCTTCTCAAGGGAATACATATGAAAAGTGTCCATTGATATGAACTATCTAGATTTACCCCTTTTTCCATTTAGATAATTTTGGTATCATATATTTTGATAATTAGATTGTTAACACCTTTTCTTTTTGGACCTGAAAGAGATTGTTTCTTCCTTATCCTTGAACTCTTGAGAAAAAGCGCTGGGTTTGGTAATTTCATAACTCATACATTGAATTCAGTTCCAAGAATGTAAATATAACACTTATTGCAAAGAAATGCGTCCCTTTACATTATTATTTTGAGGAGCACAAAAATTGTATGAGAAAAAAAATGAAACCAAAAAGGGTTAACAAGAACAAAGCAATCAAAAGCAGCAATCTAAGACGCAACAACAACAGAGAGCAGCACAACTGCAATGAAAAAAAGAAAAGGAGACAAAACAAAGTTAATATCAGGTAATGATCAATTGGAAAAGAAATGAAGATTCATTTAAAAAAAAATTTGAAAACAGAGATATTTTGGGAACTCACCATCCCTCCCAAAAACCATCACCCCTACTCGTGGTCTGTTGTTGTGAAACACTCTGTTTTGGATCCCAAGAAACATTATCGTTGGAAGGATACCCCATTGGCGGGGGAGCACTCACAGTCGGCGGCAACGGATATGCCATCATCGGTGAAGGATATGACCCTGCAAATTCATCATATAACATCTATAATCTCATTAATTAATAATGTTAATCCCATTCACAAACACAATATAATGATATAGCACCATGGTAGCTTGTTGTGAAAGAGAAAACTTACCCGGAGGATCTTGCTGATTGTAATGATGATTCATGGTTGCTGAATAATATTGAAGTGCGATGATCTTATGAACTATATGAAGATACAGGCAGACCTGAAAATAAGTTGAGATTGAGATGCTATATAGAATGCACACACACATAAATAGGCATAGGTGGGCGGCTATGAACAGTGCGAAAGCGCGGGGGAAAGGCAGATTTGGGGAAGGGATCGACCTTTACAGGTCAAAGGCTGCTTAATGCTCTGAATCTCCCTCTCAAAGTTGACAATATTATCAATTGTGCCTTTACCGTTTGAAATGAGAACCAAAGATGCAGACGAGAGGAATCATTCTGTGAGTAGCTTTATTCGTCGGGGTCCACCAAATGCAACTTCAACCCACTTTGGTGATTTAGGCGTTATAAATAAATCCGAAAAGCAGTGTTCTTAAATAAATATTGATGATAGGAACAGAGAGGAGATTGCCAAGTTACACGCGCACAAATACATATGGGCTGGAGGTGGTGGCTAAGGTAGCTTAATGGAAGGTTCAAACGATATTGTGAAAGCTTTGACCAAAAAAAAAAATGATATTGTGAAAGCGCGTGAAGAAATATGAATGTGAATAGCCTTTATAAGGCTGCTTCTTGCTCTGTTTCCCTGTATTTATTTGCCCAAAGGACACAAAAAAGATAAGGAGGCAGACCATGAGAAGAAGGGAAAAAAACATTAATGATGATGACCAAAGACAACTCAGTTACTCCCTCCATTTATAAAAAGAACAAATCATTTCGTCCCATTAGGTGGGATCAGTTGTAAGATCAAGGAAGTAGTAACAGAGTATTTGGGGGAATTACTTGGACGTGAGAAAGCAGTAAAGTTTAGGCATTTATGAAGCGGCCAAACTTGACCAATTGAGTTTGCTACCTGCAAGTCACAAGACACGAAACGTATTTCATTACAACATTTTTAACAAAGATTAACTTATATATGCCAATTTTCTTCGTATATTTTAGATGCTAAAAGATTGTGAATCTAGATTACATTTACTTTGCCGCTAAAAAATAGGGTTAAGGTGCAATTTTTACCTTGATCTTATTTTTAACGCGTAATTTTGCCCCTGATCTTTCAATAGTGCAATTTTGTCTTTGATATTATTTTTGAAGGGTAATTTTGCTCTTTATCTTTTATTTTTGAGGTGCAATTTTGTTTCTAATATTTAAATTGCATAAAAAAATATCAGGGTCAAAATTGCATCATTAAAAAGATGAGAGGCAAAATTGCACCTGAAAGATAAGATTAGAGTCAAAATTGCATCTTAACCCTAAAAAAATATTACATTTACTTATGCCTGTGGTACTAGTTTGCTGCATATATCGTTGCCACCTTAATGTACAGTTCGAGCTTGAATTCTTAAGGGATATATATAGATATATGGAAGGTGACCATTGATATGAACTATCTAGATTGAACCCTTTTCTCATTTAGAGAACTTTGATATTATATATTTTTATAATTAAATTGTTAACCATTTTCTGTTTTGGACCTAAAAGAGATTGTGTGTTCCTCATCCTTGAACTCTTGGAAAAGAGTGCAAAACTGAGTTTGATAATTTCATAACTTGAATATGGTTCCAAGAATGTGAATATAATATTTTTCCGGTTCTTAATATATAATCTAATTTAAGAGTTTATGTTAGTCTTATATGTAAGACCTATTTTAAATGTTTATTAATTTTTTTTTCAAATTAACCTTATTGATATTCCTCCACTAATAGGGAATTAATAAAAATGTTTAGTGTGCTTTAGAAAAAAAATCATATTAACTAATTTAACTAACATCTTTAATATACTCAAATTAGTTAATTATGACCAGAGGAGTCCTTATTACAAGGAACACATCCCTTTACAATATTATTCCGAGAAGTACAAAATTGTACGAGAAAAAATATGACACCAAAAGGGACTAACAAGAACAAATAACATAAAAAGCAATCAAAAGCAGCAATCCAAAACACAGCAGCAGCAGAGAGCAGCACAACTGCAACGAAGAAAAGAAAAAGAGAAAGAACAAAGTTAATATTGGGGACTAAATTTAAATAGAAACGAAGAAACCAATAAAAACTCATTAAAAAAAAGAGATATTTTGCCAACTCACCATCCCTCCCAGAAGCCATCACCCCTACTTGTGGTCTTCTGTCGAACACTCTGTTTTGTGTCCCAAGAAACATCATCCTTTGAAGGATACCCCATTGGTGGAGGAGCACTCACAGGCGGCAGAGGCGGATATGCCATCACCGATGAAGGATATGACACTGCAAATTCATCATATAACATATGTAATCTCATTAATTAACAATGTTAATCCCATTTACAAACACAATAGAGTGATATAGTAGATTAGTAGCATTTTGTGGAAGAGAAAACTTGCTGGGAGGATCTTGTTGGTTGTAATGATGATTCATGGTTGTTGAATGCGATGCTCTTCTGAACTATATGAAGATGCAGGTAGACCCGAAAATGAGATGAGATTGAGATGCTATATAATATAATGCATATATGTGTGTGTGTGTGTGTGTGTGTATCGGTATAGGTGGGTGAATGGTGGGCGGCTATGAACTGTGTGAAAGCGCGTGGGAGAAGGCAGATTCGGGGAAGGGGTTGACCTTTCCATGTCCAAGGTTGCTTAATGCTCTGTGTTTCCCTCTAAAAGTTGACAATATTATCTACTTTGCTTTACCATTTGAAATGAGAGACAAATATATAAACAACAGAGGGATCAACCACCATAGTCCCATAGAAAGTCTTTTCGGATTATTTCTTCCTTTGTCCAAAAAAGGTTGCAGAGTTCAGAAGCTTCATATTCATCTTGGACCATTCATCGTATGGTCAACAACTATAAATGCTTCATTACAAGTCTAATAATTAAAATCGACTTCAACGTAGAGAAAGATAAAGAAATGGTTCAAACCAGGTTATTAATTTCCTTTCAGATCATAAGGAGACTTCAAATTGGCAATCTTTTGGTTATTATGATTCTAGAGAGTTGATCACCATATATTACATGATCGAAATCTTATGAACTACAACCAAAAGGCTTTTCATTTTTGCCTCCACTAATACAAATAGCTTGTTATAACTCTCTCTAATATGAGGAGTTTGTAATTGCAAATGTAAGGGTTTGAATAAAGAACTATAGTGACACCTAGAAAAAAAGACACCAAATCCTCCAGCAAAACTCCATAAGAAGGCCTCTTGAAAATTTTCTGCTTCCAAATGATGAGGTTGCTTGTTTCTCCCTTCTATTTATTTATCACTGGATGAGCAATTCTTCTGTAGGAAGGACCACATAGAAAAGAATTCCCTTCATAACTACTTGATCCAAAAGTTGAAAATTGATTTTTCATGTCAAGTGTCATTCTAGATAGATTATTATGAACCACAGAAAAGACAGACAAAGAGTATAATTGAGTTACTTGTAGGAATGTGGCCCCTCAATTTGTTGTATGAAAGATCTAGGCTCTCTATCTGCTTAAGGTTGGAAAGTATTTCTGGAATAAGCCCTTTCAAATGATTGTTTGACAAATTTAATGTATGAATAGTATTTAAGCATCTAATTTGTGAAGGAATTTCACCTATCAACTGATTACCTGAGAAATCCAAACCAGACGTGAAATGTAAAATGCTTCTTTTGCAAGATTCATACCTTCTTTTTGATATGAAATCTATTTCTTGGTCTCTATACAATGTAACATCTTGTTTGTGATCTCCATTTATAAGTTTATCACCAATTGTCATGTGAAACATATAGCTAAACACCCTTGTAGTCCAGGACAAACTAAACTTTCCTATTTTGGTCTCCCCAAGCCTGTGCGTCCTTCCAAATATTATGTTATTTAAGCAATATGCTATCCTTCCAAAAAGCTTATTTTGGGAAAGATCTAATATGCTTATCTTCTTGAACTTACATAAATATATAGGAATAGAACCTTCAAGTTTGTTTTCTTTCATGATGAGAACCCTTAAATTCAAAAATGAACTCAACAATCTCAGGACTGGACATGAAAAATTATTCTTCATCATATCTAAAGTCGACAACAAGGGGGTATTGGCCAAAGTAGAAGGTAGAGGTCCAATGAAATGGTTGTTTTGCAAATGCAATGCAAGTACTTCAACAATGGCATGTTCAAACAGCTTGGCAAAGAGCCAATGAATTTAGTTTGAGAATGGTTAAATCACTACAAAAAAACATGTTTTTAGCGACGGAATTTTTTATTTAGCGACGAAATTAGCGATAGATTAGTGACAGAAATGGATTAGCGACGAAATTTGTTCCGTCGCTAATTCATTTGTCGATAATTGATTAGCGACGGAATTGAAATTCCGTCACGGACTAGCGACGAAAAATTCCGTCTCTAATTACTAACAGAAATTTTTCATCGCTAATCCATCACTAATTCTTGACAGAAATTTTCGTCACAAATTAGAGACGAAAAAATTGTCACAAATTAGTGACAGAAAAGTTCCGTTACTAATCCATCACTAACCCAATTTTTGAAAAAATAATAATAAAATGTCACGTGGCACCTCTACCATTCGCCACGTCATCACCAGTGACCACCTTCACGTGTACTGCCACCTCACCTCTGCTTGCCACGTGTCGCCATCACATAATTCCCTCTTCAAAGTAACTTCTCCATGACTCAAACCCAGGACCTCCTCTGTGCGCGCGTGCGGCTTTATCAATTGAGCTGCAATGAACCTGTTGATTTATTATGTAAAATTAAATATATATATATATAATATTATTTTACACAAACAATTATATATATACATATATATTATTAAAAACTAAAAATATACTATATGATAATTTTAATCATAACTATTTTAATGAAAAAATAATTTTTAAATATTTGTTTTACATTTGTTTTATAATGTTTTATTTTTTAAAAAAATATTTTTAATATAATTTTAATTTCTAACTACACTAATTTTGAATTTTAAATCATAAATAATTTTTTTATAAATATTTTTTAAAGTTATTTTTTAATTAACATTGATAAGATATACAATTTAATTATATATGTATTATATTACACTATATTATATTATCTATATGTGTTTTATATATTTGAACAAAATCATTTACAATTAGTCAAAAAATCTTGTTATTGAAAAAATAACTACTATAATAAAATCTAATAAATTATTCTATATAAAAAATTAAATGATTTGAATAGATTATAATAAACAGTATTCTCCTACTTGTATATATATCCTATGTAATTTATTTTCTTAAAATTATTTGTACATACCATTTGATTTTATATTGAAGACCAAAATTAATCTATATCATGGGTATTAATTATATCATAATTAAATTTTATTGTTTAATGATTGAAATTCAAAATTCACTTCAATATTAGTTTGCATTCATATAAATTTATTTTTTGGTTTTGAATTTCTATCATATATTGTATATTTCAATATATTGTACATATGATAAAATTATTTCTTTCTTATATCAATTTGTATAAGAAATTTATTAATATTCTTATTATATTTTTTAATTATTATTAATAATCAAGAGGAATTTATTTTAACAAAATATAAACAAGTTTTCTAAGAAATTGTGTTTCTATTTTCAGTATATACATAATGATAATATGAATGATGACGATATCTTCATTAATACCAACTCCACAAATATATCAATTTATTTTATAATTAAAAATATTTTTAAATCATTATATTCTTAATTGTTATTATATAAATTTTTGTAAGATTATAATTTAAGATAATGAAATTTAAAATTAGCGACGGAATAGAATTAGCGACAGAATTAGTGACAAAAACTTCTGTGACAAACAATTTAGCGACAGAATTAGCGAAGAAAATTTTTTACGGAAAAAATTTCTGTTGCTAAATATTTATTGACGGATTTTTTGACAGATTAGCGACGGAATTTAGCAACAGACAGAAATTCCGTTGCTAATCCATCCCTAATATTAGCGACGGAAAAATTCCCTCGCTAATCCATCGAAAAAATTAGTGACAGAATTTCCGTCGCAATTCCGTCGAAAATTAGCAACGGAATTTGTTTCCGTTGCTAATCAACTATTTTTTTGTAGTGAATATGTAAGTTTAGTTAGGTTGAAAAAGCATTCTGGCAATGAACTTGTTAAGGAATTCTTAGACAAAATGACGTAACTCAAATGTTGAAAGCTTCCAATCCAGTTAGGTATTTCACCAAATAATTGGTTGGCACTAATATCCAACATTCTTAATTTAGTACTATTAATTATCCCAGCACTTGAAAATTTTCCTTTGAAGTTATTGTTGCTGAATAATAAATATGTGAAATTTGATCTTATGGATAGATATGGGCCACTCAAGTTGTTGTTGGACAACTTTAGAAACCTCAATTCATTGTTATCCTGACCAAATGCTTGAGGCAAGGGACCAAACAAATTATTATTTAACAAGTGAAGATCATTCAGTTGTCTCATTTCACATATTGAAGCTGGGAATCGACCTTGCAATCAAGTTGAAGACATATTAAGAGAAATCAAGTTGGGAAAAACGAAGCCCATATGAGAAGGCATTATGAGAAGGCATTTCATCTCTGATGGGGTTAGATGAAATATCAAAAGATTCCACGTGAATCAATCTTGAAGTGGAATTGAGTTCAAAGGCACTAGTGAACAAGTTGTGAGTCAAATTGAAATAATTTAGTTTTGTGTTGTTTGCCAAAAGCCGGGATGGGAAGGTTGATGAAATATTTTGGTCCCTAAGGTGTAGAAGTTGCAAGTCATATTGATGAAGAAGAAAGGTAGGCATTTTGTTATTGTTCACTTCCCTCAGACTACAATTACAGATGCTGAAAAGTCTCAAGTTGAAGAAAGGGATAAATGGGGGATTCTCAGTTTCAAGCTTGAGATTGGCGTTACAGCATGAAATGCCAAAGATCTTAAGGTTGGAGTGATTAGCAAGCAAAGAGAATGAGAATGAGCCACTGAAATTGTCACCAGAAAGAAAAATTGCTTCTAGGGACATCAGAAAAAGAAAAAGTGAGAAAGGAAAGGTGACAAATTCAATTATTTTTATATATTTTGATATCTTTAATATGGGTTTTGTCAACTTAATTAGTCCTTTTGGTTTTAATTGATTATTAATTAATTTAATATGTTTTATTTTGAATTATCACTTTAGAAGGGCAAAATTGTTATATTTTGGTTTAATTGTGATTTATTGATTTTTAAAGACAATTAATGCTACTTTACTCTTGAATTTTGATTACAGGTTTTTGGAAGATTTAAAAATAAAAATAAAAATAAAAATAAAAGAAGAGAAAAAAATAAAAGAAAAGAAAAATAAATTTTTAAAAAAAGAAACAAAATAATAATAAAGGGGCGTTTTGCTCCCATCCCTAAATCAATTAATCATCATCATCTTCAGCCGA